ACTGGTTTATTTGGAAATGCAGTTATTTAGCTAATGACATGCTGTTTTATTCCGGAAAGAGGGAAGGGTGATTCCTTGCACTCATGATGTTCAGGTGGTGGTCAGAATTGAAGTATTGCTTGTGCAGTGGGGACCATTCCGGTGAGTAAAAGATGTATCTTAAAAGAAGTCTCTATATCTTCTCTGTTACATGCTATTTGCTATTATCTCCAGAATGAGCAAGGACAAAGATGCAGTGCTGTCCGGGTACAGTCTGTAGCATTTGCCTTTGAACTTCTCTCTAGCAAACCCGTGAGCATAAGTGCAGTCAGGTTTAAAGTAATAGAGGACATGCTGTCCACTGAGACAGCGTGTCACAAGGACACTGGGAACACAAGAGAACCCATGCACTTCCCTCTATCTTGAAATGCCATGTTTAAAGTGCCACTGGACTTGCTTATTCTTCAGGAGCTTGAGTAGCAGTTGCTGTTTTCCACCATCTAACTGCAACATCAGAGCTCACCTGATCCTTTTTGTGCACCAAGCTGTTTGATGGCCCTCCTTTTGGTACTGAGGTCATTGTATGGTTGATACCATGTGCACCTTCAGACATGTACGTGGCCATGCTCTCTTTATTTGACACTGGGTTATAGCATTCTAGACTGCATGCAGGAATATGGAAAGTATCATGTACCTGACACCTCAGTGTAGTCTGGGAAAGTGTGTGGTTGAGATCCAGCTGAGGTCTAGTGGCTGTGTAGTCTTGCTGTGCTTATTTTGTTGTTGCGCTCCCTGCTGCTTGTGAGAATTGTGTTTCTGATTGTAGGAGATAAAACTTCTTGATCCAAGAAATCATTGGTGTTTATCCCGTGGTGGCTGTACTTTGAAGTGAAATTTTGCAGAGAATAAACTAGAAAGGGTTCTAAATTTTACTTAAATTTCGTCCAGGGATTTATTTATTTATTATTAAGTAATATTTGTAAAAAGCGGTTTTAAGGACAATACGCAACTGCTATATATTGAAGACTGTGAAAAGCAAGAGCAGTGCAAAATACTAACTCTGCTCCAAAATTCACCTAAAGTGATCTCTCAATATAACATACTCAATTATTACTGCAGGACCTGACTGCTCTCCAAGAACTGTCAGTAGGACAGAAAGTAATTCCGGTTCCTGTGGTGCTTTCTTTAAGATCACATTTGTCTGCTGGCAAGTACGACAGTTAAAAATGTGGCATATAGTATGTGAAATGAAAATATAGACAACTACTAGGCAGTGTAAACTGTTATCCAGTTTCTTTTAACTTAAAGGAGTGAGGAAAAGATACAAAAATGTAGTACTACAAGTAAAAAGATGAAAAAAGTCGGAGCATGTTTATGTAAAATGTATTCCATACTTTTCCAAAGCATATAGATTAGAAACAAGCTGCAACACTTCTCTGGGGAAAAAAAAAAGCTATTAAAATAATCAAAATAATGTAAAAACCTTGTCATTTATTAATAAGACTATGAAGAAAGCATGACAACAAATGACAGTGCTGTTTCATGGGCACTTTGAAGGTTTCCTGGCGCTTGTCACTATTCAGAGTATTTGTGAAACAGTTCTTTTGGCAAAGATGATTTTTTTTTTTTTAAATTTTATGTTACTTGGGTCTCTCTGAAAGGAATTGTAAACTTGCCCTGGAGTCTAGAAACTTTCTTGTCAAAACTTGATCAAAAGCGGTGTCTCGGTGTTAACGGGCCTGAAGGGTCTCACTGTTTTTAATATACAGAAGTTTGTATGTTATGTTCCCAAGTAACTTGTGCGGTCGGACTGGTGTTTGAGGTATAGCATGTAGGATGTTCACCAAGTGACAAGGGAATAATACCTTTTCCCCTCGCTGAGTATTGGCACTTTTTTTGCCTTCACAAGCATATATATGAATATCATTCACTGAAAGCAGTTACAGCCAAGTAGTCTTTATTGCTTTTGTACTGAAGTGGCATGCAAACAGGAGAAGCCTCGTCGGCGGTCACAGCTGTGTTTTTTGTCAATCATAAAAGCAACACAGAATCAGCTTGGGAAGGGTGGTAGTCCCAGGGCTAGACCAGCAGTGCTTGTGTAAATGGGCTTGTCGTGTCTGGGTACTCTCCAACTCTGAATGACTTCTGCTTTGATTTGGAAAAATAATAACTGTTTAAAAAACAGATTTTAACTAGGCGTATACTGTAAGATAGATATTAATTGCAGATAATGGCTGATAATTTTAATGCTTTTCAGTAAGTAGCAAAATAAGCAGAAAAACACTGAAACAACAAATGAGATCAGCTTGTATCTGAGCTGTTGACTAAGTAGCTAGTACATTGTGGCTTATTACTGATTATTTTTTTTTTTGAAACATTTGTGAAGGTGTGGAACAAATTCTTTGTTTTGAAGGAGTATTACTAGCTACAAGTTAGGAAGAAAGGGCTGTTTGTAAGTAAATGGCATATAGTAAACTGAGTATCTGTGTACCTCTGTTCTGAAATGTTAAAATTTCCTAAAAGGTGATTATGGGATTAAGTGTTAAATGAAGATAATTTCTGTCTCTGGTGCTTAGCTTTGCTCAAATTACATTAACAGTTGGACTGAAATTGTGAGGACATTTTCTCTTTTCTTCTCTTTCTTTGTGCTGTATTGAGACCATTTCTATCTGTAACTGAAGCAGAGTTGACTGGTAGGTAGGATTTACAGGAGGTAAATTCAGTGTGAACTGAGGCACTTCATCATAGCAATTAGGTCTAAATCCTGTTTCGACCAGGTGGCCTCCACTACTGTCTTCTGATTTGATGCTTTTCCTCAGTTTGTGAGAGAATTGATTAATTGTCTGTTAAGAGTAACTGGAACTGCAAAGCCGGAATTAAAGAAGGTAATAATAATGTAAAGGAAAAGCCTGTAGAACTGCAGTTATGTTTTGCGCTTTTATTTTTCCACATTATTTAATACAATGTTTAATAGCACTGTATTTTATTTTTTACAACAAAATATTTTCATGTGTTCATTTCTTGCTTATAACTGAAAACTTCATACAACAGTCACTAAATGTCAGCACCTAAATCTTCATAATACTGTTGTTCTGTAGTGCAGGTTTGTTTTGTTTGGGAATGTGGTTAGAGATCTTACTCTGTATTCAACATTCTCTTATCTTTTTTTTCAGTGCAAAATGTTTTTAAGAGGGGATAAACATTTACAGTGTATTGGTAGCAAGGCCGTGGTTCTAACATGAAACAAAGAGTTAACATTGGTGTTCATCCATTAACTAAAGAATACAGAAGTTTTACTTTTCTCATACTCGGTTTCTGTTTGCATATGATAATCTATGCTTTATGAAACTGTCAGACTCAGATGTATCAAAAAACCCCAAAACAACTATATTTTTATTTAGTGGTAGGTGTATATTTTGGTTTTTCAAGCTTGTTTTTCCAGGTGATAAATTGAACTACCTTTATCATTTGGAAACATATTATAGACCTTTAAAAATACGGACAATTCTAAACAGTTTGTTAGGGTCAAAAATTCAGATATCCATTAAGCTTCTTGAAGAAAGGGAAAAATGAAAATAATAAAAATCCTCCCCCTCAATATATTTTAATGTAAGTAAATTCTTGAACATGGTATTTTTATATAAAGATATATTTTAATCATAAATGCCACTCTATTCCTCAGTCAAATATTATGACAAATACAGGACACAAAACCATTTTATTGCAATGATTAGAATGCCACTTCTCAACCTTCTTTATAAAAAAAACCCAAAACACTAAAACCAAAAAACCCCCAGCCCCAAACCAACCAACAAAACCCCAAAACAACAAAAAAAACCCAACCCCCCAAACTGCAGAGATCTACATCTGAGCTGGTGTAAAGCAGCACAGTGTCTTTGAAGTCATGCAGAAACTTGGCTGCTGAGAATCCAGCCCCAGAGATGCAGTGCACAACAGCAGTCTGATGCGAGATACATTTAGCCGCAGGAGTTCCAAAGCACTCCAGCGGAGCAGGTTCAGACCAGTGCATTTCAACCCACTTGGTTATATAGGTTAAACTTTTGATGACATTTTTCATAACAAGAACAGCAGAAACAACAGGAGCTTTGAAAATAAAGATAGGCTATTTAAATAGATGATAAAAATCTTAACACTACTAGGTAGACTAGTGTTAAATAAAAACTGTCTGTAGGTTTATAATAAATTAAAAATAACCTTTGGGTTTGAGTCTGATGCAGTATTTAGGGAGAAATTACATAATTCAACATCTGGATTTGTAGAGCTACTGGAGTGTATTTTAAAGTACTGCAGTGGTATGAAATTAAACCCTTTAACATAAATTATACAGTGATCTGTGTAAAATTATAAATTGATAGTAAGTAATTATCACTGATCATAGCCAGTGAAATGTTGGTAGACCAGGTAAATTTAATGTGTTGTTCGTTAATTGTCTGTGGAAGCAATTTAGCGCATGTGGGGCGTAATTTCATGCTGGCACTTGTTAATGGATGAATAATAAATCAGGCCACAGAACTCCTTAGAAACATGAAAAAATGAAGCTGTAGTTCAATAAAAATAATAAAGTGCTTTAAATGAGCATTTGTTGTTTAATACATTGTTTCTCATTTCATGGTAAACATCAAAACCAACCCAATGAAATATGATAGTGCTGTAGAGTAAGTAAAACTGAGCCTGTTACTTACTGTAGTTGGTATTTCCATGTATGTTCTTGCCTTGATGTTAGACTTAGCTTACTGTGGGATCAGAGGAGAAGCTTATAGTACAGGATGAACTTGCGCAGACATAAAGATCACCATAAATATTCTCTATTTTAAAGTTTTCAATTGCAAAAAAGTGGGTGTACGAAGAAGGAAGCAAAAAGAGCAACCTGGAAACAGTTCATACCCAGTGTATGTAGCCAGTTTGCTTGAAATACACTGTTCATTTTGAAAGACAGAAGAGGGTTGCTGGAAATGTATAGAAATCTGAGAATTTATTCCAAGTCCCTTGAGTGATAGCTGCTATAATATGGATGCTTCTTCCATGGCTTCAATCCACCTAAAAAGGACAGGAAAGAAAAAATGGTACGTATAAAATTATATGCATTTTAAGAACACATGTAGTTTAAGAAAAATTAAGTATTTTAAGAATGTAAAGCCTGAAGAGGACTATATTTCCCATCCCGTCTCTAATGAGGACCTAAAGTTTTGTGATTAAGGCAGGGAACTGAGTACCAGGACTCTTGTGTTCTAGTACAACGTTTACCAGTAATTTATTGTAAAATCTCAAAGACAGTACAAGTGCTGTCTTGGAACAGGAAAGATGAAACCACTAAAGTATGTTTGAAAGAAACAGAACCTCCCATTAACACTCATTTCCCTCCCTTTGTCTTGAGGTGCTGGCATTTTTATTACAAATTTCATGACTATTTTATTATGTGGAAGCAGTAGCATAGAATGGGAAATCTGAACAATTATTTGTTGGTGAGGAAACTGAGAGATGGATAAAGAGAACGCGTAAATCAGAGAACTTCCTGTACAGTAATGGCATTTGACAGACTTCTAGGCATGACGGTTGAGATTCAGTCTCCTCTTTACCTATAAAAGGGAGCAAATTCTCCTTCCTGAAGGAACTGAAAAGCACTAGGTAGATTTTTAATGTTACCCAGGCCAGTCACATGTAATTGGGCTTTAATCAACATTCTGAAAGCTGTTTCCTGTTGTGAAGGCATTCTGAAGTGAAGGAAAGGGAAGAGCCCTACATAAGCTTTTGGTCCTGTGCACTGGCTAGTGTGGAAGTCTACCCCCGTACCTCTGTGCTGAATTGTTATCCTCTGCTCGGAAGCTATAAAAGAGAGTCTGCTTATGGTAGAGATGGAAAACTGTATCCGTACTTCCTTCCTCCTTTTCTGGGGTGATAGTGAAACCCAACAAAGGCAAACTTTCTGTGGCAACTTTGTCCTGAAAGCAAACAGAAGTGAACTAAAATTTAGAGAGAAGGCTTGTAACAGTTTGAGAGCTCTTTCTAAAACCCAAATAATGATACAGCCCAGCTTTGACAGGGCTGCAAAAGCAGTAGCGTGAATCTTCTGCTGGACTGGTGGCTCTTACCTAAACAGGAGCAGTGCCTGTGTATTGCACAGGTTTATCTAGTCTTAGTCGTGAACTTGAACACCACCTCTGAAGGTCCAGTTCTTCATGATCATCCACACAGGCATGACGGTCAAATTAGCCATTACTTTAATGACTATCTTTGACGTAATGGTCCAGGATGGCAAACTAGAGGTTACTGAGAGTACGGGACAGTACAGCAGCAGTTCTGAAAGCCTGAGACCCACTTCCAGTTATCTTCCTTTCAACCATTTTTATTTGCTGAGTGCAAGTAGTAGTCTTTGTGGCACCTTGTGGTTTCCTTTCATAGCACTAGCATGTTTTTTAGAAATCTGTGCTGTCTTAAACAGCGTACTTGCTTTCCAAAATGCTGCTTTGAAATTTCTGAGCTGGCATTGCAATTGTTAATTTAATCCCAAGAAACATCCGTGAGTTTTGCTTGTCAGACACTGTTTTGTACAAGTTAAAGAAAACAATAAGCCTTAATCGAATTGCAGTTTAGCTGTTACTGATAGCTGCAATTTTGGTACTGTATTTAGGTAATCTTTTCTGTATATGTATGTTGCCTTTGCCTCTGCTTTTAGAAGCTAAATTGCAAACTGGGAATGCAAAATGTAATTAGCCATCTGTTGCTTTTTCTGTATTGTTGAACCAGAAGCGATCACTTTTAAGGTTAGCAGAGGTAAGGTAAATGTATTGGGTACAGAATTTGATGCTAATGGTCTGAATTGCTGGCCAAATCATGAACTCTTTTGTGTCTCCATCTCCATCAGTTTGAAGGGGATAATGTTGCTTCATGCAGCCATCACAGTGGTGATGAAAGTTTAAATAATTGATGTTTGCAAAGTTTTCTGAAGGCTTAAAGTACCAAATATTGCTGTCACGAGAGTTCTTGCATTGTGTCCTTTGTTCAGCGAAATGAATTTTTATGCTTCTGCTTATGAAATCTGTCAGTTATAACCAATCTTTATATCACACTTACTTCAAGTTTATTTGTATTGTCGCTATTCGCAGAGGAGAAGAAATTAAAGTAAGAAAAGGGGCTGGGAGGAGACAAAATACATAAAAATTATCTAGTTGATATCCAGCCTCCTTGGCTGTGCGGAGGAGCTTACAGGCAAATACACAAGGCAGTATTCTCACCTCTGCAGACTGCCTCCTGTCTTTCCCTGTTGGTACTAGTAGGACAAATACATCCTCTTTATACTCGCAAAACTACAAGATTTTCCTCCCCACCAAAAATGGATCATAGCACCATCTATCTACAAAATACCTGGCAGTTACCAAGTGCACCAGAGAATGCCTAAGGACCTTGAAGTCTTTAGGTGTAAATACGTAGACTGTGGTTCACAGTGGTTGGCAGTTTATAATAGCATAAATAGCAAGAAGTCAAATAATGAAGGACAGTTTGTGAAGAGGGCTGCCAAGGTCCAGCTAGGGCTGTGGTGGGGCCCATCAGCTCGGGACAGCTTCCTGGGGACTGGGTCTTTAATACCAAGTCTCAGAAGGCAGTTATAGTTGTAAGAACTGCCACTTACACCTTTCACATTTACTTGTGCTGCCTGTAGGGAGTAAAGAAGGGAACTCAGATAGGAAACTATTTCAAGTCAGACTGCACAGTACCTCGTTTGCTATGTAGGTGTAGAGGACTTTGCCTTTGATAACAAACCAGCGCTTCTTCCAATGTCTTTTGCCTCTCTTACATCTGCTGAGGTAACCACTGATGGTAGCTCCCTCTCCTGAGGCTGCCACCTGGAGCAGAGTAGGAGAAATCAGGATTTGTAACAACAAAGGCTTTTCCCCTCCTGTTCGCATCACACCAGACAACGAGGCCTATGTCTGTGAAACCATAAGTAGACCATTAAAAGTATCAAGACAGAAAAAAGTGTAAGCATGGCATAACGGTTCTTTTTAGCTGTTTGAATATTTCTGATTAAACTTAGTTCTCAACAACTGACGGAAAACACGCAGTTGAGTTATTATTGAGGTCAGCAAGTTTACAGTTGTGTTCTGAGAAGCCAAACTTGTCACTTTTCCCAGGTCTTTTTTTTTTTTGGTACATTAAAAGCACTTGCTTCCAAAAAGGAATTAGTGTCTTGTGCCTGAACACTTTTAAGATGTGGATATATTTAGGACTTTGTAATGGTTTTATATCAATTTACGTTAATAACTTGACTATGACTTGCTTTCATTTGTGAACTAATATTTCTGAGAAGGGTCACCCCTCTCACTGAAGTATTTTGAGATCTAAGTGCTTACTGTTCTTAAAGATCCAGATTTTCAGTAGATGGAACTACACACACACACGCTGCAGCATACATTATTAGTTACAGTAGTAAACTGCAGTAGTATTGGATTTAGAAACAAAGGGCGGAGATTCAAAACCAGCTTTTGTAGCACTGACAGAAGAGAAGACTGAGTAGTAATATAGCAGTGTTCTGCACCAGAACAGAAATGTTCCAGGACCTGTGTAAAGCAAGTTAGAAAAAGTTATGGAGCAGTGCTCTTGTGAGACAGTTGATATGAGTAAACATGGGCTGGAAAGAAAGGCAATGTTTTTTTCCTAACAGGGCTGAAATTTTGCCTGCCAGTTCTTTGAGTATCCAATTTGTGTGTTTGTATTCTATGCTTTTATCTTTGGCTCAGTTTCACCTCAGCAGAAACAAACCTCAAGAAATTCCAGTGTCTCAACTGTACAATGAGTTCAGCAAGATGTTTGCACACTATTCTCTTTAATACAATGATAAATACCTTCTGATTTCAGTGAAATGAGAGTACCTTACTGTGCTTGAGTTCAATGGGCAACATAGCTACCTAGACTACAACACGATTGGAACGTTGTTCCTGGAAAGAAAACTAATATAGATGGATAAATCCTGGCCCCACTGAGACTGGTGGGAATTTTGTTTATGGTGGTGGGATCAAGATTTTACCATTTGATTTGAAATACTTTGGTTTGAGCTGGAGGGCAAGTACTTGATTAAACATGTGTGCTCCTGAATTGATTGCCAAGGACTAGAGGCTGTTCCCTAAGTAAGTGTATTTTATTTCTCTTGAAATCAAAGTAAGATTTCGGAAGTAAGGGTCTTGTCAAAAAGGGTAACTGATCAACGGTATACTGTGCTCTGTTGATACTTATTGTCTGTGATCTGCCTTGTACTATATAGTACCTTGAAGTCATCTTAGTTTTTTAAAGACTACACAGGCTGATGAGCAAATTAAAGTACACTGCTCTAATTTGCCTTCTCAGTGGGCTCAAGAAGCTTCTGTGGTATCTTCAGAGCTCAGAGTATTTTGTATTTTAAATACTATTGTGAAAAACAGAAAAAAGTAAGTGCATGATGAAAGTAGACCAGGGCATGGGCTGAGCCCACTGCACACAGAATAAATTACAAACATAGCTGCTGAAGTATGACCCCACAGTTCTCCACAGTTCCTTGCCATTCTCAGGCAGCTTGGTCCTACCTCCGTAAGAGCTGAAGGGATCTTCTTCTGTTTCTTAAAAGATGAATAATGAATATTGTGGAAGACAGAGGAGAAGGCACTGCTTGAACACCTGGATGAAGTTGGAGGGAAGCTCACACTTAGTGGCCGCTCTGCAAGATTAAGAAAATTCAGAAAGGGAAGGGGGAAATCGATGAATTGGTACATATCATATCGGGGTAAGAGACGCACAATACGCTAATGCAAATGACTAAGGGAAATGCAGTGCCTCCTCCATAGCTGGTTTTTATTTTAGCTTTTCTTTCAAATCACCCCTTTAAGTCTGGCTAGATGAGTGGATTTCATAACACCCTAGCTTAATGGTAATAACCTACAGCTACTTGAAAGAAGCCTGCAAGTTGTATGAACTGCCACTTATACCTTTCACATTTACTTGTGCTGTCTGTAGGGAGTAAAGAAGGGAAAGCACAAAACACAGCTTGGTTTCTTCTAATTTAAAACCAGCATTAAGCAAATGGCTCTTCCATCTGTCCCCTCTATGTTCTCTAGCACCTTTACAGGATAGATTCACTAATGGGACATTCTTTCTGTATGAGCCATTCTCTTTGAGTTCTGCAGTTATTCTGTCTCTGTCAACCCCACTTGTTTGAGTTCCTATCTTAACGATCTCACTTCTGGCAACACACATTATCTGGAAGTTTTTAGTAAAGCACAGCATTGTTTTCTTGGACACACAGTGACTTGGGGATGCTTTTTTGGCTGTTGTGACAGCATCCGTTCATGTGTTTGCTTGGCTAGTGTGAATTTCTTTGATCAGGATGGAAAAACTAAACTTCATCTGTTCCTACCTTTTTATTTTTGACAATATAATATGCCTACTTCTAGAGACTGTCTACATGAATAGTTGTGCAAGAAAATTATTTCCTGTTCATTCTCTGTTCATATATATATATAATCCCTGCCCTTTTTTCCCCAACACCTTTGTCTTTGATTTGGATGTGTATTTCAATCAGAAAAGGGACTTAGATAGTAGGTCAATAATAGAGAGTTCTAGTTAGGCGGTAGCTCTTCTGCTTCGCATTCATGCTTTAATCTGTAACCAGATTACCTCCCTACATAGAAAACCTCTTAGTGGCTCTGTACTTTACTTCAGCATTTCTTTTTGTAAAACCTACAACATGGGTGAGGATAGTGAGGAAATGTGAAGCCATTGTTTTACTTTAATGGATAATTCATTAGAAGTGACAGGGAAGAGCTATCACCTACAATTAAGTCACGGAATAGGTTAGAAGGAACCTACAACGATCAACTAGTCCAGCTGCCTGACCAGTTCAGGGCCACCCAAAAGTTAAATCATGTTATTAAGGGCATTGTCCAAATGCCTCTTAAACCCTGACAGGCATGGGGCACCGGCCATCCCTGTAGGACGCCCGTTCCAGTGTTTGACCACCCTCTCAGTAAAGAAATGTTTCCTGTTGTCAAGTCAGAACCTTCCCTGACAAAGCTTTGAACCATTCCCACATGTCCTGTCGCTGGATACCAGGGAGAAGAGCTCAACACCTCCCTCTCCACGTCTCCTCCTCATGAAGCTGCAGAGAGCAATAAGGTTGCCCCTCAGTCTTCTTTTCTCCAAACTAGACAAATCCCATGTCCTCAGCTGCTCCCACAGGACATTTTTTTTTTTTTTTACTGTTATAGTTTAGTGAAAGGCTGGTGGAACCCTTGCTAAAACAGTTTTAGCTGCCATACAGCCTGGCACTCCTGGGATCTCAATACACATGCCTCGTGCTTGAAATGAGAAATCCTCTTTAACAAAACACAACATGGTAGGCAGATCCTAAAGCCTCCCTGTAATATAGGCAGGAAATGGGTTTGTCAGTGTTGCCAAGAATGAAGGAATCTTACCTCGTTTCTTAAGTTCCACATAGCAGCTATCACAGACTTTAGCTGCTTGATCTTTGAGGTACTTCATAGGGTACTTGTTTCTTGAACAATTTCGACATACAATCTGTTCCAGCAAGGAGAGATGCACGTAAATATGACTTAAATTCATATATGCACATACAAAACAAATCCTCTGAGCTGGCTGGGAGAGGAGGTTGGCTAGTGGACCAGTTACGACTCTGCTAAAACTGTGGCAGTCAGGGTAAGTCTCCTGACTGAAATGGGATTGCTGTAGACTTAGAGCTTTGCAAGCCAAGCAGAATTGATCACTGTATTTGATTGCACACCCCCAGAACTTAGACCTGCCCTACTAGTGAATCACAGAAAGACAACTTTAATATTACTTCTGTTTTCATAGCTTTGTTAGTAACATTGTTTTCTCAAGCAAGCTCGCATGTTCCTGCTATCTCAATGTAGGTGCAGACTGATTGTGGAATTAGAAAAAAGATTAAGTAAATGCTTTTTCATACTGGCAAAAACCACTGAAGACAGCCATGGTTTAAAACCATGTGTATAAACAAACCTTTAGTCGGTGATAAAGGGACAAAACCAAGAAAGCTTATAGATCCCCTTGGCTTTAGGGCAAAAGGCAGCAGCTCTTCAGTGGAGCACAGAGGAAACTTCCCCTTTGGTCACAGACCAAACCATGCTCTACTGCCGAGTGTCCTCACTTTTCTTGGGAGATAATTGTACCAGCTGTTACTAGGGACTGGACATGGACTGTCTGTGCCACTGCTCTGTTCCAGAACAGAGCCTATATTTTTAGTGTTTAGTTATATTTTTGCTTCATTGTCTCTAGAGCTAGCTGTGTATCTGATACAGTGGCTGGACTCAGGAACAATTGTCCTGTAAGCCTTGGCTACCAGCTTTTGGGAATTTGACCTTCAAGGGAGAGTTACTGTCATTCCTACTCGAGTCATTATAAACCTTATTACCTAATTTAGGAAGGCACTAACAGGTTCTGTGAGAAGTCAAATTCTGGTCTTGATGTTGCTACAAGTTTGCAGAAGTTACAGTAGTGGCAGCCAGTGTCCTAGGGGTGTGAATAAAGCCTCCCTGAGAAGCTTGTACAGCTCTTACCTTCCCACACGCATGGCAATGATGTCGCCTCAAAGTGAGGGTAAAGTCACAGCCACAGTTCATGCACATCATGACATGGGACACAGGTACCAAAGTAGGAGGCCTTTCACCCAAGGGTATTCCAAGCCTTTCCCTTAGCTTAAAATCAAACAAGAACAAATGAAGAAGCATCCACACTTACAAAGTCTGCTCAATCCGCCCTGCTCCATCACATACAATTCTCCTCTCATTTCAGTCTGCCTTCAGCTGCTAAGATCCCCAAATGTTCTAATTCCTTATGCACCTTGTAAGTGACATACAGCTGCTTCAGTACTGAAAGACTCTGGCCAATCAGTATATGCTGCTGTTAAAGCCAGTCACAACAGATAAAAATCCATGTAGATCTATGAATGGTCAGGCACTGATGCTCTTCCACATCAGGCAGCTATTTGATTCATTGCATATGCAAATTGCAGGTGAGAACATGAGTTAAAGCCATCTTTTTATTAACAGCTTTTGAAATAATATCCATAAAAAGCTCTATAGCTTTCAATCGAAAAGGGTCTGAGCTCTCTATGTCATTACACCTTGAGACAGTTCTATGATCAGGGAAGAGACACTACAGAAAACAGTAAACCCAAAGATTAATTTACCCTCACACAATCCAAATCTGATCCATGCTTCATGGCTGATCTGAATATATGTAAGCAGCTTTAGAAAATGTATTCACTGTTTCTATTTCTTGGAATGCACCGTGTTGCAGCGTTGTACAGGTGCCTTTGCTCCAAGCCGAGGGAGCCATGGTCAGTGTGGAAGTGAACTCAATCTAATAAACAGTGCTGAGAAGCTATGTTACTTCAGGTTCAGCACCAGTTATTATGGGTACCCCACTGTCAGTTCACAGTAGCTCAGTGTCAGGCACAAGTAGCACAAGCTCTTGTGCTTTTGAAGGACTGTTTGTTAGGAGGATTTCCTATGAAGAAATTAGACTTCTGCAGACAAATAAGATAGAAACACAGAGAAATCAAATCCCTCCAAATTTCGCCTTGCACACATTCAGGGTTACACCAGAAGCAGAGCTGCATAAGAAATTATTTTTTCGTTTGCTGAAAAAGGATTTGGTTGAGGTTGCTACACTAACTAATTGCTGATTTTTTTTCTGATTAATTATTTGAAAGTAGATTGGCTTCAGGCTAGATGGAAAAACCTGTTTTGGTTTTTGAATTAATTTTTTACTTTCTGCTGTCTTCAAAAATTAAATCACAGAATCACAGAATGGTAGGAGCTGGAAGGGACTTCTGGAGATCGTCTAGTCCAACCCCCCTGCCAAAGCAGGTTCACCCAGAGCAGGTCGCACAGGATTGCATCCAGGCGGGTTTTGACTATGTCCGGAGAAGGAGACTCCACAGCCTCTCTGGGCAGCCTGTTCCAGTGCTCTGTCACCCTCACAGTGAAAAAGTTTTTCCTTATGTTAACGCGGATCCTCCTGTGCTGCAGCTTGCACCTGTTGCCCCTTGTCCTGTCATTGGCCATCACCGAGAAGAGCCCGGCTCCATCCTCCTGGCACTCGCCCTTTACGTACTAATAAACATTGATGAGGTCACCCCTCAGTCTCCTTCTATCTTTCCATGAAATGGAGACTCCCTAGGTTTTGTGGGAAGGGGAAAGGGATGAAGAGGAAAATAGTTTTGAATTTTTCCTTGAATGAGCTAGAAGGTAATCAAGGAAACTGCTGATAGAGCGCGGACAGAGTACCCCCAATGAGGCCTCACCAGGGCAGAGTAGAGGGGGAGGAGAACCTCCCTCGACCTGCTGGCCACACTCTTCTTAATACACCCCAGGATACCATTGGCCTTCTTGGTCACAAGGGCACATTGCTGGCTCATGGTCAACTGTCCACCAGAACTGCCAGGTCCCTCTCTGCCTCGATGCTTTCCAGCAGATCAACCCCCTAGCTTGTACTGGTGCATGGGGTTATTCCTTCCTAAATGCAGGACCCTACGCTTGCCCTTGTTGAACTTCATTAGGTTCCTGTCTGCTCAACTCTCTAGCCTGTCCAGGTCTCACTGGATGGCAGCACAGACTTCTGGCGTGTCAGCCACTCCTCCCAGTTTTGTATCATCAGCAACCACTCTGCTCAGGCAGGGCCACCTACAGCCAGCTGGCCAGGAATGTGTCCTTGTGGCTTTTGAATATCTCCAAGGATGGAGACTCCAGAACCTCTCTGGGCAACCTGTGCCAGTGCTCAGTCACCCTCAGGGCGACAAAGTGCTTCCAGATCTTTGAGGGAATCTCCTGTGTTTCAGTCTGTGCCCATTGCCTCTGCTCCTGTCACTGGGCACCGCTGAGAAGAGCCTGGCTCCATCTTCTTCAGACCCTCCCGTCAGGTACTTGTACACAGTGATGAGATCCCCCTGAGCCTTCTCTTCTCCAGGCTGAACAGTCCCAGCCCTCTCAGCCTCTCCTCAACTGTGAGGTACTCCAGTCCCTTCCTCATCTTTGTGACCCTTTGTTGGACTCTCCAGTGTGTCCACGTCTCTCTTGTACTGGGGAGCCCAGGCTGGACACAGCTCTCCAGCTGTGGCCTCACCAGCACTCTTTATTTCCCCCAGTTAGTCTTGTTTAGTAAAAGCTGGGGTTCTACATAAACTAAAATAGCATTTTTACTTTTTGTCAGATGCATTCTTTGCCACCTTAACTGGGAGTAGTACAAGTGAAATTAATGACATAATAATATACATCAGTTGTGCTGGTTCAATTAGAATATTGCTGGTGGGGTTTGCACTGGCAGTGACTTTATTGTGTGTGATATTAGTGTAACTAACAGGTAGTTGTGTTTTCTTAAAATCTACAAATTTTGTAGCTATTTTTAGTTACCCTTTAGGACAAAACAGTCTTCCTCCAGAAGAACTCCTATTTAAGCAAAGACAACAGAGTATATAATGTGATTAACATTTTAGAGGTGGCCCATGAGCTGTGATGAGCTTCATTGTTAAAGCTTGGCATACTGGTTTAAATGACAATAGCAAGAACATCTTGCTACTAGGAACTCTGCATTTTATAACCCTCCTTCTCTCCTCACTCTCTTTCTCTCCCTTCCCCTTTCAAGCATTGAAGGACTTGGCCTCCTTTTACCTCCACGCTGCTGTGGAATGTGGAAGTGTTGTGAGCTTTGTAGTCGTCTGGGATGTATCTGCTGATGCAGCTGTACCAGTCATCCCTTTCCGAGCAAGAGCTGTGGAATGAAATACAGCAGAGCAGTCAATGCCTTGCGCAACAGGGACTGACACGAGCTGTTTCTTGATCAGAGGAGAAAAGCTTCACTTTAAGAATGTTTGCTTTTCCACACTACTGCATTGAACTGGTAATTTTCCTACCAGGAACAAAATTGACTGTTGGACATATTAAGCAGGATGATTAGTGTAGATCCATGGTTAGGACTGTGACTGAGAAGGAACTAAATGCCCAGAAAAAAGTGATCTGACTTTGCTATAAGCCACTTAATCCTAGATTGCATAGGACAATATAAAATGTCTCTTTTTTGTCATGCCTGCCCTAGCTTTTAGGCACTCTAGTGCATGTAGCGTTGACATGGGTTGCTCAAAGTAAGCGTGTTCGTGCTTATCTCTACATTGGGATGCTTAAAAGATCTGCATGTTGGGAAATGCAGAAGTCTGTCACCCACGGTAGAGATGTGAATGCTTTATTTTTCCTCTAGCTCCATCACAGACAATCTCCAGTCTCCTGGCAAGAAGCCAGGACAGCAATTTGGGAAGGAAGTTCTGCACCCCCTGTAGTTGCAGTTGTGCATGGAGGCCAGCAGTTCTCCAGACTGGCCCCTAGATGCCCCCTTTGCACAAGGCAAAACACTGAGCACTTTGCGCTTCTCTGCCAGTCCAGCTATCCCGCAAAAGCAGCAGGGCTCTTAGTGCCTGCTACGTCCCAGATGCATTCGCTCTGTTACAGCCATAAGCCGTCCTGCCAGTGGTAGCTGGTTTTCCTGCTGTAACTTCGAACTGTGCTTCCTGTCCATCTGAAACTGTGCACACACCTCTAGCTGTTTCCAGCATCAGTCACAGGAGGGAATGCGATCCAGTGTGGTCTCCCTCCCCAGGTCATACCAGCTACTCACATTAAAGCTACCCACTAGACTTTGTTGTAAAAATTAGCAGTGGCATCATTGCCAGCTGCTGTTCAGCTGTGATGTCCTCATGAAGGCCCCCAAACAAGACTTGTGAGAACAATTTCTCTTTTGTAGTCTTACAAAATAAAAGCACAGAAAGAGAGGAGATGCCAGATTTTATCAATGATCTCTGACTTAGCATCACTCTGCACCGTAAGCATAAGCCCTTGTTTGGAAAACACCAGCCTCTGTAAAATTAAACAAGCCTGGAGCAGAAATTAGTGTAGAAACTCTGAGCTAGTGTATCTACTGCATATAGGCTAACCTCTGCAAGAAGGGGGTTATGTTACAGGAGATCATCTCTGGCAAGAATGACACTACTAGTCAGTCCTTACTAGTACCAAATGTCCTGCCTAATTACGCTTTCTAAGAAACCTGAAGATGGCTGTATCTTCCAGACAAATCATGTTCACAGCCTGCAAAGCACTAAAAGTCCTGGCTTCAACCTTTCTATTGCTAATTCTTTCTTGGAAGTTCTCTTCATTTGAGAATTAAGATATAATTTAAAAAACCAAAGGAAATCATGGTCCATATAGTGATGCAATTTAAAGCCACTTTGGGAAAGACAGATAAAAGGGACAATCTGGTATTAAAAGCCTGATATGTAACTGGCCCCTTTAACCTCTTCTCCACTCCATTAAACATCTCTAGGCAGTCATCACAGGTTATTAGTGTCTAAATGTGAGAATAACACCAGTCTGCTGATGAGTAAGATAAATTACGTCAGTTGGCACTGGCCTGTTCTTAATTAGCCATTTCACTGATTGCAGAATTTTTGCTGACCCACTTGAGGCTCAGAGAAGATCAGACCTTGATCCACCATTGCCACATTTGGTGTGATTATTGGGGTGCACCTTTTGTCCTGAGCTATTAGTTGTTGGCTCATATATTCTTCCTTAAGCAAATAGAAAGTCAAATTGTCACTGCAGTCTCCCGAACAGCAGGGGACATCCATGAAACGCAGAAACTGGACTGGGATGGCATGGGATTTTGTCGCAGTGCTGTCACTGTCACTCTGAATTAGCCTTTGGGGAGGTAACACTTTAATTCTCCAGTGC